CATCCGGGTTGTTTATAGATCTTTCGATCATTCAACAATCTATTGTTCCTTCCATTCAACCTCTACTCGATCCTCTAGTCGAGCCCTCTACATAGTATGAGGATGAGGATATGGGATTAGACGATTAGGATGAGTGATATAATATTCCATCATTTTTTTTAATTTTGTTTTTTTTAATGGAACGTATTCTAGAATGATTTGTTAATATTATTTTATTTTTCATATATAAATGATTACTTATAATTATTTATTAGTAATATAAATTATTAAATATCATATTAATAATTTAATTTTGAAAAATGTTAACAAAAGCAATAGAATTGTGAAAAAATCAATTTTGAAATTAACGATGGAATAACGACGGATTGATGACAATTTCGTTTTTCGAAATAACGACGAAATATCGACGGATCTATTTTCAAAATTAGTAATGGAATAGTGATGGATTTATGTTCAAAATTAGTAATGAAATAACGACGGATTTATTTTCAAAATTAACGCATAATAGAGACGGATTAGCTACGAACAAAATGATCGATCCGATGATAAGATTAGCGATGGATTTTTTTGGTTTAGCGATGAATTTTTGTCGTTAAATGTTGTGATGGAATGAGTATTCCATCATAAAAAATTAGCGACAAGTGAAATAGCGACGAAATATTTTTTGTCGCTATTCGTATCGGGCGTTTAGCGACGAAATATTCCATCGCTAAATTTCTTTTGTTTTTGTAGTGAGCATGTCTCCCATCATACTCTTTAGCCATATGCATTCTTGTGCAGGCATGGTTGTTGCCACATACTCTACTTCCGTGCTAGATAAAGAAACCATGGATTACTTCTTGCTATACCTAAGAAATAAGAGTCTGTACCAGTGCTAAGAAAATAACCTAAATTGAATGATTATAATTTACATTTTCTTTCCAATCTGCATCTATGAACTCTCTTAACAAGTTCTCACTTTGTTTGTGCATAAGGTCATGATCAAGAGAGCCTTTTATATAATGTAGAATTCTCCTTGCTGCATTTAAGTGAGAAGTTCTTAAACATTACATGAATTGAGAGACTACACCAATAAAATAAGCAAATCTGGTCTTGTGATCATTAACTAATTTAAACTACCTACAAGTTGTCAAAATTGTCTAGCATCATTTAACAACTTTCCTTTATCTTTCATTAGTTTGAGATGTTGCTCCATTAGAGTGGCTTCTTCTTTTCACTCTTCCATGCTAAAATATTGTAAGAGCTTATTCACATATCTTTTTTAAGAGATGAAGTATCCCTAATTTGATTTTTCAACTTCCGGACCAAGAAAGCAACCAACTTGTCCAAAAATTTTCATCCGAAAGTGAATAGACAAATAATTTTCAATAGTGAAATCTTAGCTTCATTATCACTAGTAATTATCATGTCATCCACATATAATAGGACCGAGTAAATGCATATTTGATTCTAATTTAATAAATAAATTAGAATCTGCATCGAAAACTTTAAATCCATAAAAGATAAAGTATTGAGCAACTTTATCATACTAAGCATGTGGTGCTTGTTTAAAACCATATAATGCCTTCTTTAACCAACAAACATGGTGATGTTGCTCCTTAGAAACATAACCTTTAGGTTGTTCCATAAATACTTCACGATCCAATTTTTCATAAAGAAAGGCATTCTTTATATCAAGTTGCCATAAAGTCTAAATTAAATGTTATAAGGGTAAGAATAGATCTTATTATTACCATTTTTGCAATTGGACTAAATGTCTCCTTATAATCTAGTCCGTAGCTTTGAGAGAAACCATGTGCCACAAGTTAAGCTTTGCATCTATCGGTAGTCCCATCCGATTTTTTCTTTAGATGATAAATCCATCTGCAAGTAATATGCTTATAATTCTCTAGTTTGGACATCAACTCCCAAGTCCGATTCTTGTTAAACGCTTCAATTTCTTCTTCAATGACTAGTTTCCATTCTAGAAGGTCTTTTACTTCCTCATAACTTACTCGGGTCTCTTTCATTTACTACACCTATAAAAAAAAATCATGAAATGATAGTACAATGATTTAGCTGCACCTCATAGTCTTTGAGGTAGGTTGATTGTCTTTTCTCACTTGCGGATTTCTTTTTAGGTTATTGTTCAACTTGATCTAAATTTAAGATATTTGGACATTCATCATTGATTGAAACTTGCTCACTACTTTTATGAAGCAACTACGTAATTTTTTGATCTTTATCAAGAATAATCTCTTGAATGGAATTTTTGTGGGGAGAATAATAGGATGAAACTTCATCAAATACCACATCTCTAGAAGTGATAAACTTCTTTGTTTCTAGGTCCATACACCTCCACCCTTTTCTACATGAATCATAGCCAATAAAAACACATTTCCTTACTTTCGGATCAAGTTTAGCTCTATTAGATTTTGGAATATGAACAGAACAAATTGAACCAATACTTAAAATTAATTTGCATTTGGATTTACATCATACAAAACCTCAAAGTGAATTTTTCTTTACTTGGTTGTGGAAGTAGATGATTTATTACATAGTAAGTGCATTGAACTACTTCTACCATGAGCTCTCGAGTAAGATTTTTATCATGTAACCATGAGAGACTCATTGAGATGAGATGAGCCAATTTTCTTTACGAAACACCATTCTACTAAGTGGTATTCGGACATGTCATCCGTCTTAGAATACCATTATTCTCACAAAATTTGAAAAAGCCATCGGACATAAATTCACCTCTATTGTCACTCTATAACCATTTAATTTTCATCCTAAATTCCTTCTCTATGGTGTTTTTGAATTTAAGAAACATAGATAAAAGCTTAACTCGTTTGTTTCAAGACACTACAAGAAAATAGGTGGTTAGCGATTTAGTGACGGATTGTATTTCATTGTTAATTAGGTACCGAATAACTATTGAATGGTGAGGAAATTGAAAATGCAATAATTTGAGACAAACCTATGCTGAATTTGCTATGAACATTTAGCGACGGTAACAATTTTGTCGTTAACGCATGGCAAAAAATGCGCTTTAATGTCGACAATGAAATTGTGACAGATTAGCAAGACATTTTAGTGGCGGAATACATTTCATCGCTACTCCATCGCTAATTAGTGAAGGATTAGTGATGGAATGTATTCCATCGCTAATTGCCTAAATTTTTAAAAAGTTCAAAAAATTAGGTGCTCATTTGAAATTCAAATTAGCAATAGAATCGCATCCATTGCTAATCCTAAATCCCTAAAACTGCAAGCTCTCTTCTTTTCCCCTAAATTTCCCCCTTTCCCTCTTTTCCCCATCTCTTATTCTTCCGTCATTGCCCCCACCCCACTCCCTCCCCAGCCCTCTCAATCGAACGAGGCACCTTTCTCTCCCTAAAAACCATGTTGAAACGACTACGACAATCTCTCCTCTCCGTTATCTATTTTGGTTAGTTCTCTCTCTTTTATTTTATTTTGTTAATTAGATTAATTTTGTCAATTAAAAGATTATTTTTGTTATTTGTTAGTTTTATTTTGTTAATTGTTAATGTTAGGTTAAATTTTATGTAATTATTAAGGTAATTTAGATAAATTGGTTGATTAATTATTAGGTTAATTTTGATTAATTAGTAGTTAAAATTTTGTTAATTAATTATGGATTCTAGTTAGTATATTGCACCTCTCGTGAACATTTCAATTTTAAAAATTGATATGGTTCTTTGATTTGATTCTAGTAAAAATGTTTATTTATCTTTCGAGAAATTTTATAATACATAAGGAGTAACTAGTGGCATGTATAGTAGTTACTCCTTGGGTCCATTTTGAGGAGAGAGATAGATACACAAAAAGAGAGAGAAAAATAAGAGCGAGAAAATAAAAAAATTTAAGCGGACGTGAAAATTTTCTTATCACTTTTGATGAGTATGGATGTAATTTTTTTTTTTTATGTGTCTATCTTTCTCTTCAAAGTGGGTTCAAGAAGTAACTATTGTACATACTACTAATTACTCCTTATATATTATAAACTTTTCCTTTATCCTTCCTGGGCAGTCCCATATGTTTGTTATGAAAGTCCAATTTCTATAGCTGTAACAATATATTCCAAGAGATAACCTTTGAGCCCAATAGTTCACTGATTTTTGTTAATTGATAACGTTCATGTTTCTTCTTTTCTTTTTTGAGAGGGTTGTGGTAGATTATTTTATTGAGGGCATATGGGAAACTCACGAGTGACTATGCCTTACTAGAAAGGGTGGATTTTCAAACTGACATAAAATTGATCTTAAAATTTTGCTTAGCTGATGGGTTCGACGTGTTTCCTTCTCTACTAGTCACCGATGGCTCCTGCATGATAGATCGACGGATGGGGATCCATGGCCACCCCTTTGAGATCCAAGTGAGTTTTTTTTTCCTTGCCTTGTCCTTTTGGACCGTGTTGGTTAGTAATTGGACCCGGGTTATTTATGTTGTCACTGCATTTCTGTTTCCTCCACAATGGAATATATTTGAACATAGTGTTACTATGATTTCTTATGTCCTTGGTAATATGCTTTTTTGAGTTGTACTCAGGTAATGTGGAGTTTTTCCAGTGGGAAATTTATGGCTCTGTTGTATATGAGTTTGAAGGTGCCATAACCTAAGCATCCCTGCATTGCTTTTACTTGTTATATGTGAAAATGGAGTCTAGGTTATGAATAACTTTTTGACTTTCTACAAATGCAATGATTTAAAGCTTTACAAGATGCAACTATGAGGTAAGCAGGCTTAATGATATGAAAAACTCAACTTTCACCTTTTGCTTGTGCCTTCGGTATGTTATATATTTCTCATTTCTCCAACAGAATTTTAAACATTACTCTGACACTCCTTTTTTATCCTTCTTTTTGTTTCATGAGTACAAAATGTCAGTCTATAATCACCTTATTTTATGCACAAGCTTTGCTCTTTCACTTTTTTTTATATGCTTCCTCATCTATGGTTTACCTTACAAGCACAAGTTTGTTTCTTTAGGCCTTCTTTTACTTTGCTCTATGGTCCTTTCGTGAGATGCTAGTTGTAAATAAAGGGGATGCAGTCCAAATAAAACGAGCTGCATAACATTGTCACACAGTAGCAGAGTACCATATAGAGGTTGCAGTCTCAATATGATTCACTTGTCTCGATGTTGCATGGGCTGGCGTAGACATCCGGGTTGCTTACAGATCCATCCACCAGTCAGGACTCCATTGTCCCTCTCACCGTCACATTCTTGCTTCACTGATCTTCTCATTCGCATCTAGTTCTGAAATTTCAGCACAAATGCTTTTAACTTGTAAGTAATATTCAGAAATATACATACTTAGCATAGCCAATTTGTTCTCCAGCAATTGTAGTCTAGTTGTATTCTTTTTGGAAAACAACCTTGCAAACTAACATCTCGAACATGATTGATGAATTCTTTGTTGATCGAAGTCCTCAAGGCAAAGAGAGTCTTTCCACATTTGATCTTCCATTTTCTACGTTGTTCAGCATTGTTTGGAGTATCTAGAGGGATTTTGTTATCGGCACTAACAACAAATTCTCACAGATCTCGACTTTGTAGGTAAGCCTCCATACACATTCTCCAGTACATAGTGGTTTGTCCCTACAAGCTTCCCAACAACATACTGTGCGCTTAAACTACTTCCTCCATTTGCTAACTCCATATTGTATAGCAAAACTTCCTTTTTACGCCTTTCAATGTCCTCTAACATGACAAACAGTAACTTGATAGACAAGAAGAAAGAAGTACTTGTGAGTGTGCTTTAACCAAGCTCTGATACAATGAAACGGAAGGAAAAAACAAGAGGAAGAATTGTATTGTAACTAGAGAATTGAAAACGAATGAAAACAATAGAAAACTGGATAAAAGTATGTATTTGTTTTATTTAGACTTGAATGATTGAAAACATCCTATACATTCCATGTATATAGCAGCCACTCTGCTAACAAACATTCCAAAAACTCTTCGGTTATGTTAACAAAATAATCTCAACCAATTTAATTTGTTGCACCAAAAGACTAGAACTTATTATACCAGAAGACTAGGACTAAGATTGACTTGCTACAGTTATACTAGAAGACTAAGACTACACAAATGCTAAGCGAAATAACAAAAGGTAAGATGCACTAATTTGTAACAGCAATCAAATCGTGGTCATACTTTCATAACCATTAAATTATTTTTTTGAGACAAATTAATGTTTGTACATCCAAAATTTATTTTTAATTATAAAGAAAGTATAAATAACATGAATTTTATTTATTCTTTCGTATATTTTTACATACAATGTATTGATTTTTAGTACTAATCTTTTATTTATTTTTACAATAAATATTATGTATAATATATAAAATAAATTAAAAAAATTAACGTATCTCTCATATGTTGTATTCTATATATATATTTTTTTGAATCGTTATATTGCTATATTCATATTGTGTCGAATCCATATTTTCTATCCGTATCCATGCTATGCTTCACTGTTCTTATCATATCTTTCAAGAATCCTCGTGCATCTTGCTAGTTCTACGTATTGAGTGGAATGCATCCGTACCCAACACAGTGTATTGGAGCCACCTTGAAACATATCCTTGAACCTATTCAACATATCAAGTACTTCTAATAATTTGGACTACAGAATAGGCCGCCAAAGGCTTGTAGTCTCAACTAGAAAAATCAATCTCTGATTTCAGTTTAATACCTGCGACCAGTTGTAAACAATCCAAACAAGCCCCAGTCAAGAGACAACTAACCACTAGTAACCAAGTCCAACCACTGATTTTTCAACCATTCAGCAATATCATCTATCAGCAAAAGACGATGAAAGAAAAACCATGGACCAGTAACTGGAAACATGTTCCTTCTCTTTTTCTTTAAGGAGGGAGCTCATTATCAAATCAGAATCAATTCTTATGGTGACCGTCAGCAGAATAAAAGAAATTCTGGGTCTTCGTCCTTCAGATAAATGGAATTACTAGTGGACCTCCTACAAGTTTCCAGTACTTGCTCTGAACCCAGAGTTACACTGGCACCCTTTTACCCCGGGACCTGTCAAGAAACTGCACAAGTGACAACAAGAATGGTAAGAAACCCCAGAAGGACGACTTTATTATTAACAGTAGCAGTAACAACAGCAATAAACGAAAATCATAAAGCCAAACTAAATATGGCATTCACATGGATTCAGCATGGAAGGGCAGAAATCATTCAATTTGTCTTCAAGTGTGGGCAAACATTGACCAGATGGAGATTGAATGCCTTACAATACAAAACACTAACTCCAGAGAAGCGTTCAATAATAAAAAACCAGTTTGATCCCCATTTGGTGCAAGGACTACACTGGTTCCAATTAGAATCTAATTGCATGACTACTCATGAAATTTGGGTAGGAGTATAGGGGAGAGAAATAGAAATAATATAATTCAACCCCAAATGAACCTGCATCTCAATCAAGGTTGCAATCATTCTCTTGATTCTATCTCAAGATGAATCTATATGCCACAAGCCATTCCAGCTTACAGTAACAGTGATCAAACTATCCAGCGGCTATCTTTAACACGGTCTAAAGTAGGAAAAAGTTTGATGGACCCAGTTTTAAAACTCTCAAGCAAAAGTGGAGAAAGATTTTACCTTTCTGATAAGCGTCTCATAGTGCAGATAGAATGGTTTTGTTTGAGTTACCAAAGCAACAAGAATTTCAGAACTGCAAAGCTAAAAGTAAAGCAACTAAATTTATTAACTAATCAGCCTAGTTACTTCATCTCTCAGCTTTTCAGAATATAGCTTTTGAAAGAAACCTCAAAGACTCTACAAGAAGGCACGTTCTCTCTTTCCATGTATTCTGCCACAGTTACAGTATCTGCAGCAAGGATAAACACATACGGAAATTTCGATATCAGTGTATTCTTCCCATACCATCATGCCAAAAAGGAATCTATCCCCTTCTAATGGGAACCCAACAACTCTTCCAAGATCATCTCAAACAGTATTCTTAGTTTTTAATAAAGAAACCCCGCAATCAAGCACAGTCTTCATTCTGATTTTCTATCCTCCTTTGGCCCATCACTAAAATCATGCGCAACAAAAGTTCCAAACCCGTCATTCTGATTTCCTATCTTCCTTTGGTCCATCACTAAAAGCAGTCGAACCAAAAGTCTGAAACACACCTCACTCCACCAGAACCGTAGGAACATGCCAGTCCATGTGAAGAGTTGAATTCCTAATCTCCTTTCGGGCAAGAAGTCTTCAATTTTATTTTTTAAAAACAAAAAGTGAATTTTATTCCATAATCTGATGAGTAAATGAAAACAAAGTACTACGACTTACTAAATACAAACTACCTACAAAATTTATGATTAAAAAAATTTAATTCTTTGCCAGTAGCCTATTAGCTCTTAACCAGAAAAAAAAGAAAAAGAAAAAAAGGAACTTCAGAAAGGTGAAAAAGATTCTTCTCCCTTAAAAACTATTCTAAAATTGCCTCCTAAAAAATCCAAAAGTTAGTTAGCAGAATACAGATCCAAACATCTTTTGATTTTCTTTTTCCTTTTGATAGAAAGAGAAATTTCATTAGAATATTAGGGGAAAGAAGAATCATGCAGGAGGAAGAGAATTCCTCCATATATATATATATATAAACCCAAAACAGAATGAAACACTAAGACAGCACAGCTCTTTCAATCTCACCACTAAGACTCTTGTAACAGAGAAACAAAGAGAAGCTAGAAAAACTAATTTATGCCAAAGCAGGAGAAAGGAAACCTCCTTTCCTGAAAGATTCTAAAGTTGCAGTCAACCCAAATGCTCCGAAACAAAGCAAACATAACACATTCCATAACGGCTTCCACCATTTGAATTCCCAAGCCCTCAAACCTAGTTAGCAGCAGCTCCGCTTAGGGTGCAAGGACACACCCAAGACTCAAAAAATTGGGAAAAGTCTATGCCAGAGGTTACACGTGTGGAACAAACTGTTAGTGATACTTTTGTTGTAGATTCCTGGCCCTTGGCCTTAGAGAGGGAACCTTAGCCATTCATATCAACTAAGGCAAGAGAAACTGAGGAATGAAAAATGATTTCACAGGAAAGAAATTCCAGATGGCTCTAAGTTCCAAAATCCCCAATCTCGACATGGGCAAAGACATACTAAATCCAGAATGTCAAGAGGTGAGCTAGTCCCCAGTCTCACTGTCATTGAGGTTATGAAAGTGAAGGTTCAGAGAGGGCTCAGGGCTCACATTGCTAATGGGAAGAATATTGGACACGGGAGTACCGTGGAGATTTGGGATGGTAAAGATTTGGAAAAGCAAACCTAAAGGGCCACCTCATCCACCGATCTTTCCAAAAATAAAATAGAAGGTCCATCACCTCATTTGTAGAAATTAGAAGGAGAAAATGAGGAAATATCTGAGATACGATCAAAACTTCTCCTTTGCGTGTTAAAGTCAAATCAAAGCATCTTCTTTTCTTGTATGAAATTCAAATCCTCTCCAGCTATTAAACTGTACTTCAACTGGACATGGCAAATCCAAGAGAAAGCCACAGCTTGATAGACCAATTCAATATTGCAGTTCAAGAGAAATCAGGCATGTCGTCTTTAGAATGCTAACATTAAATTTGCTGCTTTTAGTAGAACTTTGTTCTAGCCTCCTAATCCTCCCTGACTTCACCTTCGTGCACTTTAAACCGACTGAAAATAATTGTATATAAATTCAACATTTCAGTATTGTGCACTCTTATCAAAAGCCATATTCCACCAATGAGCTTCAAGCATAATTTCATCAAATCATACTACAATTTGGCCTTTGAGGGAAGAACCATCCTAACCAAGTAAACGAAGAAAATGAAAATTGTATTTCCTTCTTACATCAAAACCTGCAACTAAATTCCCAAACTCCAACTGAAACGCACAAAAGAGCTTACATCTTATCTGTACATTTACTTCGAAAGCTCTCCTATGACAACATCTAATAACAACTTGGCACTCTTTGTGTTCAGCCTGTTTGTCAATCGTCATATACATTCAAAAAGTTCAACTACGTAGACGCAATAACCAACAAGAAAATGGCTTCCATAAAGACAGATGTTTCACAGTACACAGAAAATTTACGCCTAAAAAAAAAAAAAAAAAAACAGAACTTTTGATCTTCAAGAGAAACTTACCGATCTCACAAACGGCAGTTGCAAAATCCAACCAAGAACAGGCACCCTCTGTAGAAAGATTGAGAGAGTTGGCCAAAACCCACTGCACAAAATTTCCATCAGTATCTTAAGCTCTTGAAAACAAACAGATTCTTATGAAACAACTTAAGCAATATCAATTCAACAGACCTGAAAAGCATAAATAAGCCGTATCCCTCGAATATCATACCACTAATTGGCCATCCTATAACAACAAAGAAGAATCCTGCACCAAAGGAAAGTGTTCCCTGCAAAATCAACAAAGCATAAGCCACGAGCATCCACGGCCGGTGATAGACAGCTAAAGCAAAATGTACCTTGAAATTTTGACGTCTGATGAAAAATTGCATAGTCGACTTTAATCCAACAGTTAGACTCAGTCCTGAGACGAAGAGGATCTGATCAAATACCAAACAGAATATAAGACAATATGCAAACAATTAAGGAACGATACGAGAAAGAACTTCTTACATTTCCTATGGCAAGTAATCCCTTGTCGAAGAAAAAGATAATTCCTAGGAAAGAGAAAAATATGCCGAATCCTGTCATTCCCAGCCCGATTTCTGTTTCAGTTACAAGAAAAAAAAAATTAAAATGTGCATCAAAATGGAAAATAAAAATAAAAATGGAGGAAATAAAATTAATGACTCACTTTTCCGGTTGTTCATATCAAAGGAAGCCATCGTGTACATGAATTTATTCGAATTCTTGTGAAAAATCAAATATGAAAATTTGTTTATTAGGGTTTAGATTTGGTGAATTCAATCAATATATTCAATTTTTTAAAGCTAAAAGAGAAATGGAAAGTACCTTGAAAAAATTAGAGAGATGAACTTGAATCTGTTAATTTTAATGGAAACAACTCAAAAAAATTCAATTCCTTGTTAAACGGGGAGGGAACTGCGCGGGAGTGATGTTGTTGGAAAATGGACCAACTCTGACGCGGGCTTCAACCATCCAAAACTCGCACTTGGTCATCATTTTCTTTTCCAAATTCTGGCCCAACTCATTTGCAAAATTAGTTTTTTTTTTTTAATCTCCAGTAATCCAATAATATGTAGATTAAATTATAAATGAGTCCCTCTTTTTTTAAAAAAATAAATTAATTAGTCTTTTTAGTTTTAAAAACTAATTATTTAGTCTTTTTGCTATTTTTCAAATTATTTTGATTTTTTTAGGAAATAGAAAAGAAAAATAAATAAATAAATAATATAAAGATTGATGAGAAAATAAGGCATTGTATAAAATAAAAAATATTAAATTTATCATATTAAAAAAAGAACTAAATAATTAAATTTTAAAACTAGAAGAAGTAATTAATTTATTTTTCAAAATGAGGGGACAAATCTATAATTTACTCATAATATTTATCGCTAGATGCTCCATTCAGTGAAATTAATTCACGTGAATTAATTGATAATGATAATACTTTCATGCTGCCTGAGGCAACAGGGATTGCTTATACCCGACACAAGAATTAATTGATAATAATATCAAAGTTGAAATTATTTAAGTAATGTCAAAATATAAAAATAAAAATCATATATATATGTAGTCTTTTTGTCTCATTTTAAGTGGGTGGAGTATTGTGGTGAATATTCCTAGAGTATTAGGTATTTTTCCTTACTGTATTATAGTTTATAAAAGAAATTTGGAAAGAAAAAATTGAGAATAGAATAGAAACATTATATATTAAAAATTAGAATATTGTGACACTAGGAGTTAGTTTATTTGGCCCCATGTTTTTCTATTTTTCTCTTGATTTCTTTTTAAGAAACACAATTAAAAACAACAAATAAATATTTAGTAAATTAGCCGGTTCAAAGTGGTTTACGGTGCTGGTAATTTTTTTAACATAATTTTATTCTTGTAATATAGAGGAACTGGCAAATAGCTATTGTTGATGTAAACAATTCTTCATTTTTTATCATATTCTTTTTATATCAAAAAATATCTTTCTTTAATTATTTTTTAAATTCAATTTTGCATTTTTTTTTTTTGAAGGTGATATTAACATATTTCATAAACTTTAGAAGCAAAATTGTAATTTATGCATCTTTTCTATTATCATTACTAACAGTAATAAATGAAAATGAATGGAGAGGGTGAATTGAAACAATGTTGAAAGATGTAGAGATTGTTTGAAACAAAACAAACTTCCAAAATAAAAATGAAACATTCTATTAAAATGAGAAGGGTAAGTTAAAATTTATCTAAAAAAGAATTAGTAATGTTTATTAGGCGGTAACAAACACTTGGTAACATATTTAATAGATCCAAGCATTGTAGTTTTCGGTTAGATTCCAAAAGCTTAATAATCGTGTCCAATTGTTAAACAAATGTCAAGAGTTCTAATTATTAAAAAAATATATCAACAAATAAAAAATAAAAAAAGAAGAAGATATATTGTGCTATAGCTATAAAATAAGATGAAACGCTGAGCTCTAACAAAAAAAAAGAAAAAAAGAAAAGATATATGCTCAAAGTTTATCCATATGCATGAAATGATTATAAATAGTAGTAGTAGGAATAATAATAAATAGATTTGGTTCTTAAAAAAAATCATTATAAGTGGCTGTTATTTGGTAGGGCATGTATGGTATTGTTGTAACATAAGGTACGTTAGCGATTGTAATGTGTTGTGCTATAGTGCTCTATGAGATGAAAGCATCATTAATAAAAGTAGCGTTAGGTGATAGATTAGCTTTTGAAAAATTGTATTTTTAATTTTAAAAATTATTGAACATCAAAATAAATTGTTTTGATTTTGGTTAAACCAGAGACTACCCTGCTTTGTTTTGGTTAGAAATTTTATACTTACACAAAGTCAAATCTTAATTTTGGATAAGTTTTATTGTCCAAGACCTTAGAACTTTATAATTTTTCATGTAATAAATAAAATTTTAAAAAGAACATGATGAAGATTGATCGATTAAAAATAAATCCTTTAGGAAATTATATTTTTTTAGGAGATTGTATTTCTTTAGAAAACTGTATTTCTCTTTTTTAGTCTTCTTAAGCCTTTTAACATATGTACATTCATTTTATGAAAATAAACTATCCATTTATAAGACAGAGAGAGGATCTAGTTCAAAAAATGTCTTAAATTATAACCTTTCATTAACATAACTTTTTATTATCAATTGTTTATATCTTTTAACTAATAGGGTTTTAGCAGTTAATTTATTAAAACCACTTGGCCCATGCAACATTATCATGGTCTAACAAAACATAATATGCATAGTAAAAATCTAAACTCTTTTCTACATTGGTCACAACATTAATCATGATTAAACAAAAATTAGTAAAGATCATAGGGGTTGTATGTCACTTATTCAACATATTTCTTTTTGTATATCACGATATTAGTTCAAAACTTAACATGATTTGTAATGAGATATGCCATAATAGCCCAATAATAATGTCTTAACATATTAATATTCACATAATTCATTTTCATATATATATATATATATATATATATATGTCAACAAAAAATAATAGGATATTTAAATATAGAAATAATACTTAAATGAGCTCGCAGTGCTAAATACATAAAAAACATAAAATAACAATATTATATCATTAACGGTACTTAATAATGTTTATTCTTCGACATGTTCGTCAAATGTCTTTAGTGATAATCTTTTTGATAAAGGATGCGCAATCACAAGATTGGTGCTAATATCTTAGATTGACATTCCTTGTTTTCTAACTTCTTGTGCATTCTAATTCATTATTTGGACATTACATAAGGATGAATTTATCTACTTTTTAAATTGGAACAACACTTGTAGAGCACTTTCCATCTTGAATTTCTTTAAAACTTATAAAAAATGCTTTCTGGGACTACCCTAATAATCCTTGTAATTTATCATGGAATATTTCAATTCCTATAACATAGGATGCCTTGTCCATAATTTTTATTTCAAAGTTTTGAGAGAGAAATTTCTTGATCTCATTAAATAAGTCAATATCATCAGCATCAAGCAAGATATCATCAACATACTGAACGAGAATGATAAACTCACTCCCACTGACTTTTAGATATATACACCACTCAACAGTGTTTTTCTAAACAAAAGAGAACATCTCGTTTTTTCTGAGAGAAAGCAGCAAAGTTGTAACTGATGCAAGTGGCAACACTGTTGGATCATCCACAAGACAAGAATAAAATTTAGATACGAAGCTCAACTCCAGCTTTAACTAAAGAGCACTCCAGCTGGCTTGATGGTTCCTTGTTTCCAGTATTATCAGCATCCAAGTCATCGGTACGTAACACTATGGTCACAGATTCAGAATGAGATGATGTAGAGGTAAAGTGCACATCCTCAGCTCCAGTCTCGTGATTAAAGCTGCATCATTGGTATCACTATTGTTGGAGTCATCATCAGATTCAGAATGAGATGATGTAGAGGTAAAGTGCACATCCTCAGCTCCAGTCTTGTGATTAAAGCTGTATCATTTCAAGTAATAACGAAAAGTAAGAAAAGAGAATGAATGACTTACATAAGTCTCAAGAATTTAACCATTGTAGAAGGCATGCTCACTCGCAGGTCTGCCAAAGGAAATCCATGATAATCATCGATCTCAAAAGAGCGAGACGCAATGAAGCTCAACTCATTCTGGTCAGTGCCAAGGCCTCCAAGATTTGCGTTCAGCTTGTAAAAAATCTTAATTTACTTTAGCATTCACAAGAGGGAAAATCCTGCTCAACAGTCATAACATAAAAAATCACTAAGGAACGGATCACTAAGAAGGTGACGCCAAAGCAAAAGTCAGTTAGTTTTGAATATCTATTTACCTTGCACATCAAGAACACTCCTAGTAATCCTGATCTTCAGTATATTGACAAATGGTTCTGATTGAAAAAAAAAACAAGTTCTAGTCTTCCATACAAGGCATACAGGTCCATTGGAGGACATTCCTCCCATTAGGATGGGTTCCATTGCACTGATTAACTCAATTGCCTCTTCCAATATTTTAATCTCTGCCATCCGATTGTTATTACCTATAAGTCAAGCATAAGTAACAAAAACATTAAGCAGAAGCAAGTACCTTTGTTCCAAGAAGCGAATTAATCAAATGGAACAGGCATTATTATATATGAAATACATTAAAGATAGAAGCAAAGCTAGAAAAAGATGAGAAATGCAAAATTTCAAGTGTAGTGTAATCTAATGTCAAGTTTGATCAGAGGGAAAATAGGTAGAATGAAGAAAAGCAAACGGATGGCACTCGATCCCATCACTCTCCCCACATTGATTTTTTTTTTTCGAGACTAATTCAAAATTAATGGCAGAGTGAGAGAGAGAGAGGAATTAAAACATAACGCTACCTGTAATGCTAGAAAAACTCTACAAAGGGTAGAAGGACATCCTTAGAGTCAGGGTGCTCCCACTCCATTGATTCCCACCATTCTTTTTCTGTTTGATCTATAAAAATTTTATCAAGAGAAGGGGGAGGAGATGGCTGGCCATTGTCAAGCAATGGTAGACAAATTGGCATCCTCTTTAGATTCTGACAAAATGATACTTTAATTACTTGGAGAGAATTGCAAATCATTCTGGCACTACAAATGCTCTTCAGTTGTGGTAATCTAATCATTATCAGACTTCTTAACTTTGGCAGATTGAATTTGGAGAGAAAATAGGAGCTGCTGCTTTCATCCTCCGTAACCCCTTCTTCATCTCTTGCTGCTATTATCTCCTCCATTTTCGCACAAGATGAAACAATTATCTCTTCCAGGTTTACGAGGTTTGGAAGCAACGCAAGAGGGAATACCTCTTTCATACTTGTACACCCAAAACAAGAAAACTTTTGAAGACCAGAAAATAGACCAGTAGATGCCGGTGGAGCACAGCAGGACCAAGAAGATGAAAGCAAGCTCTCCATGCTTTCGCTATAGGAAATGTGGATACCCTCCAGTTTAGTTGCATGCTTTAATGAGGAAACATCGCATAAACTTGTTGCATCGTCACACTTGAAAATCATCAGTTGTTTAATGTCATTTGGGAACATGACCTGAAAATCTCCGTCTCTGTTGATACTTACGTTACTCAACCCCTTCTGTTAGAATTATTTAACATCATTGTATAATCAGAGCCGTCGAACTGTCCTACAAAAATTTGGTACGTGCTTGGTGATTGTTTCTCATCCCGAAATTTGAGATACTCTGCAAAGTCAGAGATACCTTCAAAATGGCATTCTAGAGTTTCCAATTTCTTCAAGCATGCTACTTCCTTTCCTTTAACTGTTGCATGTGGTCTCCATCCATGCTTACAGGCATCTCCTTCGCTACGAAAACTTGCAGGTGAGAGTGTTTAGGTAATATCCCACTAGGAAACTGTTTTTTCACCACATCCATTCAGTCTAAGATACCTGAGGTTAAATAGACCTTCCATGCCTTGAGGCATCTTTCTAAGTGCAGTTTCTCTGAGATCTAACCTCTTCAGTGCCCTGAGCATTTTTAATGATGGAACATGTCTTAACTCCTCACAGTGTGATAGCAACAACGAAATGAGACACAAAATCAGAGATGGAATCTGGCAATTCTTCAATTTTAGTATGGGAACTTAGACACCTAAGTGACTGGCTCGAAGGAATTTCTTCAATTTGGTTTCGCATTGGTGAAACTCTCACGAGACTCTCTGTCCACTCCTCTGCATGTGGCAATTTTTTTAATTGTTCACCTGCTTTAACCATGACCTGAGATTTCTCTTGCTGTATTTGGAGGGCCATGTCCCTAATCAAGTCATGCATCTTGACATATCCTTCATTTTCAGCCCATCTACCGCATTCCAATAAGCAGACGTTTACAAGCGTATTAAGCATTGAATGGCCTTTGTCAAATTCTGCCTCCCTACTCTTCATCATTTTTATCACTCCTTCATCAATCAAATAAGCTATCAAATCCTCTTTAGGGATCTCGAAGTCTTCAGGATATAATGCACAATACAAGAAACATTGTTGCAGTGTTGGATCCTTTAAGTGCATATAATTAAATCTCAACACCCGGAATACCTCCTCTTCCATGTCATCTTGCCTAACTCTTGATTGTTTCAGGTCCTCCAAAGCATTCCTCCACTCGCGTATGTCATCCACTCCCTTCATGGCTCCGGCCATCGTTATAATTCCTAGGGGCAAACCATCACATTCCTCGTTGATAGATTGTGCAATTTTTTTCACTTCTGGAGAAAGTGCTTTGTCATGTCCAAGTTTCTCCATGAACAAGGTCCAGGCTTCTTCCTCAGAAAGAGGTTTCACTTTGATTTTGTTTTGGCCATCCATCCGATGACAAACCTTCTCTGATCGAGTTGTAAGAACCACCTTGCATCCCTTCACTTGGACAGGAATACCCACCCTTTATAGTTCAAAAGGATTCCACAAATCATTTAAAATCGGAACTCATTTCTGTCTATTCATTAATTCTACTGACAATTTGACTGCTCTGTGCAGCTCCTCCTCTTCTTTGGAGAGATCTAAACCAATACACCTTGCAATACGGTTCTGCAATCTATTAATACTGAAATCTTGCGCAACGGTAATCCAGTAAACATCATCGAAAGTGCCTCGTCTTTTTAGAAGCTGATTATAGATATGTGTAACCAATGTTGTCTTACCCACACCGCCCATCCCATAGATGGCAATACTTGAAACTTCATCGTTCATCAACCAAGACCAGATTGTCTTTCTATGGTCTTCAAATGCTTTACCCACCAGCCTTGTCGTTGGTAGTGCATATCCTTTAATCTCGTTTGTGTTGCACGTAAGCCTTGAAGAAGAGCTAGCCCCTGCACCAGTCTGTGCTACTCCTCCAGTCCCATTCTCTATATCATCCTCCATCAACAAATTACAGATCTCATCCCAACTTCTTCCAATTGCTTTGCCCACTAGATCTGTTGCTAGCGATGCTTCTCCTCTAGTCTCAGCAGGGATACTTGTGTCAATATGGATCATTCCTCCAGTCATGTTGTCCATGTGATGTCCTACTTTTGCACGTAAAGAAGTTGTGCCTTCTCCCGCTCCTTGTTCTGTGCCCTGGATCTCAATGTTAAAACTTTGAAACAGGTAGCAACATCATATTCATGACTTATACTCAAGTTTCAGGGTTGGTTCTGCAGCTACTGCTTTCTCACCAAGGATTCTGAAAATGCAGGAAAGGCAGCTATGAGCTATGATTTCTTGGGCCATACGGCGAAATGGGGCAGGTTTTAATTTTAGGGAAATCTATAAATCAATTCTCAAACTATATATATGATTTCAATTGAGTGTTTAAAGTTGAAAATTAAGCAATTTATTAAACTGTTAAATTTTCGTAATTTTGTGTCAGAAACAGTAAAAAAAAAAAAAATGGTTATTGTTTACGTGTTTTTGCATGTGCCTTACTTTTTATGTAAAAAATTCATTCTCTCAATTAGATTGAACTAGTTGGTCGACTTAGGCTGGTTACGGAAGTCAGAATCTCAGAACTTGATCCAGAGGAGATTAGTTTTTTTTTTTATCGACTTTATGTCGTGGATTAGATAAAATATATAAAATTATTTTAAAAAATTATTTTATTTTGATAATCTGTTTTATGATATGAATCTATAAAAATATATAAAATCAAAAATTTTATATTTAACTATTTCTTATTTGTATTTTTTTCATAATTTTTCCTTTAGAAAAAATATTTATCCTTTTTAATTCATAGATTATTAACTAAAAATAAAATTAAATAAAATTTTTAAAAAAGCTTTAGTATTTCATAAGATTGTGTCGAAAACAAAAATAACAATTATTAAAAACTTACATAGAATTGAACGAATATTTTATTTTTTTTAATGTTGATGAGAATATTGATTTTTGAAAAAAATGTGAATTTAATTTTTATCTATTTATTTACAAAAGAATGAATAATATTAAAATAAAAAACTATATTAATTTGAATTATTGAGTGGTCAAGCCAAAACATAATTTTAATTATTTAATGTAAAATAAGTTAATTTTAAAATATTCAAAAATAAATAAATAAACAAGTAAATGCTTAGTCTAGTAGTAGTTGCACGCTTAATTTCTAAAAAACAACGATTCAATATTTTTTTACACATCATTACTATACTAAGTGAGTTTAGATTTTTCAATCTAAAATGAAAAAAATACTATAAAAAAGAAGAAGTTAACTTGCAATGAATCTATTGACTAAATTTGAAGTTAATAGACTAAGTTAAAAATTATTACAAATTTGATTTCGATTAATTTTGATTATATAAAAAAGAAACATGTGAATTATTTTTCTTTTTCTTTTCTCCTCCTTAAATAATCTTTTATTTCTATGTTATGCATGACTAGTCCTTGAAAATAGGCCTTATGCCCAAAGCAACCATCTTCTTTTTATTTTTCACATTTGAGTTTCAACTATTAATTAACTAATTTGAGCTTTTTTCTAAAAAAAATCAAAAAAAATATTTAAAATACACTTTTAATCTAACAATGTGTTTCGGACAAATTATATATATTAATCATGTCACTATAATTTAAAAATGATCTAAATCTATTTTTCAAAATAAAAAATAATCATGTTCTAAAAATTTATTTTAAAATCCATACATATAGAAAAATAAATCAAAATTATCAGTAAATATAATTTTAAATTAATTGGATGAGAATTTAAAAAAAAATGATAAATTAAAGTAATAGATGTTAAATAATAAAAATAATTAACAAAAAACACTAAAACAAAATGGAACCAAATCACAATATAATTAAAGCTTGAAATTGAAAAAAAAAAGCGTAGAAATATTGAGGGCCATATAATTTTAAATTAATTGGATGAGAATTTAAAAAAAAAATGACAAACTAAAGTATTAAATTTTAAATAATAAAAATAATTAAAAAACACTAAAACAAAATGGAACCGAATCATAATATAATTAAAGTTTGAAATTGAAAAAAAAGTATATAAAAATTGAGGACTAAAAATGTATTTTAAACCAATTATATATATTAATTATGCCGCTATAATTTAAAAATTATCTAAATCTATTTTTTGAAAGAAAAAATAAACATGTTCTAAAAATGTATTTCAAAATTCATACACATAGAAAAATAAATCAAAACTGTTAGTAAATATAATTTTAAATTAATTGGATGAGAATTTAAAAAATGACAAATTAAAGTAGTAAATTTTAAAGAATAAAAATAATTAACAAAAAACGCTAAAACAAAATGGGACCAAATTGCATTACAATTAAAGTTTGAAATTGGAAAAAAATGTATAGAAAAATTGAGGACCATATAATTTTAAATTAATTGGATGAGAATTTTAAATAAATGACAAATTAAAGTAGTAAATTTTAAATAATAAAAATAATTAACAAAAAATAATAAAACAAAATCGGACCAAATTATAATATAATTAAAGTTTAAAATTGAAAAAAAAATTAAAAATGACAAACTAAAGTAGTAAATCTTAAATAATAAAAATAATTAACAAAAAATATTAAAACAAAATGGGACCAAATTACAATACAATTAAAGTTTGAAATTAAAAAAAAAAGTATAGAAAAATTGAGGGCCAAAGTGTTGCACAAATGCTATGAATAGTGAAAGAAATAGTGATTTATGAGTGTGTGAATAGTATTATAAAGTGTGTGAATAGTAAAAACTTATTTTGCTTTAGTGTTTTTTACTAGTTTTTCACCCATGTTATGTCGCGGATCGGAAAGAATATGTAAAATTATTTTAGATTGAAGATTTGCGTTATACTATGAATCAACCAAAATATAATAATTATTTTTTATTAAAATTTTGTATTTGACTAATTACTCGTTGTATTTTTCAAAAAATTTCTAGAAAAAATGATTTATTCTTATTTATTTGATTCTTAACTAGAAACTTGTAATAATCTAAAAATAAAATCTAAAACTCCATGGAATTATAACTAAAAATTTATTTTTAAATTATTTTTTTCAAAAAAATCTAAAAAACAATTATCTAAAAAATATTTTAATATTATCATTTAAAAATTCAAAGAGCCTATCATATAAATTATATAAATTTATTTTTTTAAAAAAATTATATTGTAAAATTTTATTTAAAAATCAATGCACAAAGAATAATAAATCATGTTTATCAATAAATAATATTTAAGCAAAATAAAAATTAATTTGATGAAAATCTCAATAGAAATGAGAAATTGAAGAAATAAATTTTAAACAATAATAGTAATATAATCTAAAATATATGTTTATTTTAAAATATAAAAAGATATCATATAAATATATTTATTACATGTAATAGATGTGAATATAGTGATAGATAAATTATAAATCAATCCTTTTTGTTTTGAGAAATGAATTAATTAATCATTTTGATTTCAAAAAATAATTATTTAATCTTTTTTGCCAAACTATTTTTTTTTTATAAAAAGTCTTCTTTTCTCATCAATCTTTTCCATATTTTTATCTATTTTTTTATTTTTTCATTTCTTAAAACAAAAAGTCAAGAAAATTGAAAAATAGCAAGAAGGACAAAAATTAGTTTTTGAAATCAAATGAACTAATTAATTCGTTTTCTTATAAAAGAGGGACTAATTTCCAATTTACTCTTGAAGCTCCTCTTCTCTCGCGGAAATAAGAAGGAAAAAAATGCAATCATTGGAGCATTAAATGCTTCGTTAAGAAAAGAAAAGGAAATGATAAAAAAAGGCTAAAAGATATATGAAAAAGAAAATGAAGAGCAAATGTGGATTTTCATAAATCTATTGAGTGATATTGAGAGTAATTAAAAATAAAAAGAAGACCATTTATAATGCACAAGAAAAAAGAAGTAAAATGACAAAAAGAGGAGATAAAAGAAAATTAAAAAAGGAATCAGTTAAAGATAAATGTGAATTTTTACAAAATCCACCGAGTGACACTAAGAATAATTAAGAGAAAAAGAGAGGTTATTCATCAAGCAAGCAAAAAAAATCCCTCAATCGACAGTGTTATCGGGTGAGAGTGAAGTTTAACAATAGTGAAATCACCATGCCTTTTAATTTCCTTTGTAATAATAGCCTTATAGCCATGATCGAAGAGGATAAGTTTTGCACGAAGATCAGCTTCTGTTGGAGGACCTTTTTTTCGTAGTGAGATTGAAGATGATAAGCAAGAGAAAACAAAAGAAAGAGAGAGCACCACTAATCACACAATTAACAACGAGCAGCAACCACTTTAGTCAGATAGAAACAATTAGTCCAAAATTCAGATCCAAATATAAACTTTCATAACCCAAAACAAGTTTTATTAGTTCAATCAAACAAACTGTATGTCAATAAGGATTAAACATACAGAAATGGCTGATACAAAAATCAGATTAGATATCTGGAGAGAAATTATTGGTACAATTCATCCAGCAAAGTGGGATGTGTTCAAGTAAAAATTCATGTCAAGTGCTCTAAGCCAACCAAAGCCAATAATTGCGGTATTGTCCGAACAATTTCTGATGCTCATAAAAGAAAACACCTCAGTTCTCCAAGGGAAGCAGCAAAATTGTTTGGAAGTGAAAAAGAAACAAAGAATGCATGAGAGACATCTATAAAAGTGGACCAATAAGTGTTGCACCTCAGTTCCTCTTTAATCTCTTCCTCATAGATGCTCTCTGAATGCCTTTGAAAGAAGACTGGGAACGAGCACCAACAGCAGCATAAGTTCTAAGATTCTCGAGAATCGTCCTTTCACTCACACGCAACATCAGGGAATGGTATAGCTTTCTCTCTTTCATACAACATTTTTCCAGTGCTTCAATATCATGTTTTATTGAATTTGAGCCATACAAACTCTCCCTCTTATCAGCAAGCCACAAAAGAGCATTGCATACACTTTCTGTCAGCAGCAAGTCTGCTCTCGATTCTGAGCTATTATCCCATGGGATATTGCATTTTTTTGATAAAATTGTGCCAACAGATCCTTCGTAGTTATTTGCAGTTGAGACTGCAAGATCCAACTTGTGATAAGCATCCTCCGGTAACAACATTATATACAATAAAATCAACAACTCAATTTGTGGTTCCCCGTTAGATGATATCTCAAAGTATTCAGCACTCTGGCTGGCACATCCCCCATAATCTATTCTTCTCCAAAGGGACAACCTTGCTCTACGTAACCTGCTAGAGAATAAAGAGGAACTCCATTCTAGTACCAATTCCAAATCAATATTGACAATGCCAAAGGAATTATCTGGCTCTGTAAACCCATATCTGTGAAGCAATGCAGCATTACCCATCAACCCATATGTATTAAAGACCTGAGGAAATAAAAAAAAAAACAAAATAAAATGAGGAAATGATATGACAAAGCATCTTTCTACATCAAAGCTAGCCTGAACCAACTGAAATGACTACTTAAAATTGATTAACAATTACTCAAAGTGTCAATATGATACCCAACAAAACCATTGGTAAAACACAGCGAAGGACCACTTTATCTTGCAGTTATAAACAACAGCACACCACATGTGGCAACAAAGCATTACAATTAGGGTTGCCAACTAATCCAAGCACTAGAGTAAAATTGATTGAATAGCATTTCCTGTTAGGACCATAAGAATTATTAAATGACATTCTCATTGTCCCTGTTTTTCCATTGACTAGTATTGTCCTCAGATTCCAAATTTTAAAAGGGTTTTAAAGGACCCGGACCCCTCAACATAGATGACTAAACTATGAAGACTAAAAAACCTAGTAGGAAAACATAGCTAGTTGCTCAACGGGATTAATAAACTTATTCAACTCATTTATTCTTAGGGATAAAGTACAAAGATAAGTAGAGTTTGTCATTTTCCCCTTAAACTAAAAACTTACGTGGCATGGCTTCAAAGTCATGTACTTTCTTTCTACACAATCAATTGATCTAGCATTAGTTCTAAGAGCCAACAGATTACTATCTAAAAAACACAGTTTGGCAGTAAGAGAGGCAGTGCCTGTTGTATAAAACTACAAAGTTGAAAACTAAGGATGACTTTTGACATACTGATTTTGATGTATACTCTCAATTTTGATAGCTTTAAAAATCATCTAATTGCTGAAGCAACCAATGCTAAAAGTTTCTCTACATCTAGTCATCTAGGAACATGGCCAACTTGGAGAACTCTAAGATCCAAAGAATTCCAACTAATAGGACTTTGATCGGGTCATGCATTAAAACCAATACAACTCACAACTAGTCCCAATGCCACTGATAATAATATCAAATCATAAAATTTAGACATAAGACCATCTATGAAATTAACTAAACCATGAATTGAAACAATGGAGGAGCTAAACAAGGTAGAAATTATTTCACCTTCTATACTGCTGGTCCAGATTATGTTAATAATTTCACTGATTTTTATTTATACAGAGTCCTTCAAACTGATAAGGAGAGAAAATCAAATGACTAGCTACCCAAGACTGTTCAATTTCGCCAGCTGCAACCCACAGAAACCTCCTCTTAGACTTCAACAATGAGGACTACTCCAAAGTAGTTCTAAAGGTCCATACGTTGATTCCCTAAACGAGAAATATTTATGTGGTCTCAAAGGAAAACTAACAATATAAATGCATTAGCTCTCTATTCAAGAGAGTGAAATTTTCATGAAATTATGCAATGCATGTCCAGTTCAGTCAAGAACTGATTCGAGAGCCAATACTATGGGATTATCCATCAGACATAAAAACAAGATTTAGATACAAACCTCAACCCCAGCTTTAACATCTTTCACCATAATCATTTCCAACACTGAGGGATCATCCCCAGCAACTGAAGAGCACTCCAGCTCACTTGATTGTTCCTTGTTGTCAATATTATCAGCATCTAAGTCATCAGTATCACTATTGTCGGAGTCATCATCAGATTCAGAATGAGATGATGTACACGTAAAGTGCACATCCTCAGCTCCAGTCTTGTGATTAAAGCTGTATCATTTCAAGATATAAACATGAGTAAGAAAAAGAAAGACTTGCATAACCACATAACATCTCAAGAATTTTAATCACAGTAGAGAGGGTATGCATACTCACAGGTCTGCCAAAGGAACCATTCCAAATCCATGATAATCATCAATCTCAAACGAACGAGAAGCAATCAAGCTCTTTGCAGCAAAATATTGGTCCACTCTAAAAAATTTTGGATCAATATTTGATGGCAGGGAATCCAAAAGAGGCAATATGCTTTCTTTCCAATCCTCATAAATAAGAGCCTTGTCTTCCTTCACTATCTGCCTATGAAAAGATCACCAAATTATTAAAAGCCAGAAACTTTCAAACCAATCAAATTCACAGTTAAAATCCCATCTCTAAAATATAAACAATCATCCAATCCCACATTACTATAATTGACAAATTAATTTTTTTCCAATTCTATCTGCCTACAAAGTGGCAAAGTCCACTATCAATTACCAACTTGTCAGCCTTATCAACTTCACAGAACTCCATCTTTAAAACATGAAGAATAATTCAATCTGATAAATATACGACAATCTTTTCCAATACAAGCAACAAAAAAGACTTGGACTTGGGAGCTACCAAAGCGAGTATAACCAAAACATTAATTATTTTGAAGTTTACCTTGTGAAGCTCAGTGCCACGAAGCAGCTGATCAACTTCATCAAGAGACCAGACCAAAGGCAAGCACTCACAGTCAGGCAAGACTTGAAAGTAACCAGCCCAAGGAGAGTCCCCACCTAAGCTCTTCTCGTACATTAGAGCCACTGATAGTCCCAAATAACCATCCAGACCAGCAGATTCAATCAAGTCTCTAGCCCCACTAGTCTTAATAGTAAGGCAAGCAGCTTTAGGTATTTTAGAAATCAAATCTCCTTCATTCAAATCCCACAATGCCTTCACTGAGATTCCTTCTTCTGGGGTGTCGATAAATTCGAGTGTCTCCTTGCTCCATTCAATGCCTTGGGATATCATCCACCTCTTGAATGCCCGAAGTCGCCTGCTTGACATTTTTGCGTCCTTTTCTTCTTCTTCAGTTAGGTCTTTCGATTTGGTTTTTCTCCTTGGGTTTTGCTTTGTTGGGCCAACTAATAACGGACCAAGCCCAAGAGTAAGAAACGTGATACTGTGGAATAAACTCACCGAAAAAAAAAAAAACCCACTATTTTTGGGATTGTCTACGACGCTTCTCATCGGGTCTATTTCGGATCCTAATTCAAAAGCACTCATTGCAGGATAATTTAGCGAGTGAGGACGATTACTAGCTAGGCATTGGTCTAAAAGAAGATGGGAGGGCGAGCAATGAAGATTGAGTTGAGCAAGATCCTCATATTTTGGAGAACTGGTTACGTAGGCAAGTATATGGTGAAAGCAAGTGTTTCAATGGGACACAAAACTTATGTATATGCTCGTCCCAACACCACACAATCTTCTCCTGCTAAAATGGGTATCCATAAGGAATTCCAAGCCATGGGGGTCATCCTTCACTCTATGTGAATGTGTTCAAAAGAATGATGCTATATCACTCATAACAATTTTCAAATGTTACAGGGTGAATTGGATGTGAAGGAGAAAATTGTATCAGTACTTTGCGAAGTGGATGTAGCAATCTTCACACTTCATTATTTTCAGGTTCTCGACCAACTCAAAATTATAGAACCATAAAATTTGTTGGTAATATAAAGGTATGTCAATATCCTTTCAGTTTGGAGAACTTTATATATAATTATGTGCAAGTGTGGTGGGTGTTGGGTTTCCCTCCTAGTTGGAGGATGACCCAAAGGTTTGTCTACATGAGTCTAATTTTAGAACCCATGTAGATGAGGATTTTTTTAATCACTTAAAGGGTAATTTTAGTATTTTCAAATAAACCTTATCTTTTCTTTTATTCTGAAATCAGATTAGGGAAGAAGAAAGAGAGAAAAAGAAAAGAAAAGGAGTGAGAGCCGCAACTTTGGAGAGAAAGAGGGAAGAGAGTTTAAGCATAGATTAGTCACACTAAAATTGAGTTTCTGGGTTCGTTAACCGTTGGATCGAGCTCAAATTTGGTGGGCACGTTCAGGAGAGGCAGGCGCACATTCTGGACGGTGGAGATCTGCTTTTGAGTCCTAGATAGGGATATATTATGCTCGTAACAGTGTTATTTTTTGGTAAAATCTGAACTTGGTTTCTTCTGCTTTCTTTGTGTATCATCTTTTGATGTGGTTTCCCAAGGGTGTGTAACCTTTGATGTTTATGGCTGATTATTCATCTAGTTTAATCTAGAGAGGACTCCTTGTACCTATTATTATTGATAGTTGAAGTTATAGTGGACTTCGATCCCGTGATTTTTCCCTTCTCAAATCGAGGAGGTTTTTCACGTAAAAATTTATGTTTGCTTTGTGTGATTGTGATTGGTTACGTATTTTTCAGATTATTAGTTACTTGTTTGGCTTAGGTATTTGGTTGTAGCCTCGTGGTTGATTGTTCAAGCAAGGGCAAAGGGGTTCCGCTGTGTTATTTGTGTTTCTTTGCCCAACAAGTGGTATCGGAGCTTAGTTATTTTTTTCAGCTTAAACAATATGGAGAGTAACATTAAAATGATAAGTCTGAATGGAACCAATTATTATATATGGAAGAGAAAAATGAAAGATCTCTTATATGTAAAGAGTTGGCATCTACCTGTCTTTGCTTCGGATAAACCTAAGACAAAAACAGATGAGGATTGGAAGTTTGAGAATGAATAAGTTTGTACATTTATTCGTCGATACATTAATGATAATGTTTCTAATCATGTTGTAGAAGAGGTGAATGCTAAAACTTTATGAAAAAGTTTAGAAGATCTCTTTGCTAAAGAGACGAGGAATAACAAGATGTATTTGATTGAGCAATGGATGAATTGCGAGTATAAGGAGAGAACTTCAATAGTTGATCACATTAATGAGTATATGGGAATTATTCAGCAAATGAATGCCATGAAAATAGAAATTGATGATGAGGTCCTTGGGTTGTATTTGCTTGGCTCATTACCGGATTCTTAGGAGACATTCCGTACATCACATTGTAATTCGCTCCCGATGGGAAGATGACCTTGACCTATGCTAGAAATGGGGTTCTTAATGAAGAGGTCAAAAGGAAGACTCAAAATTCTTCTTCCCGATCCGATATGTTAATTACCGTAGAAAAAGAGAGCGAGTAAGAGTAAGAGTCCAAAAGGCAGAGGCAATAGGTGAAGCAAGTCCGGGGGTAAGTTTGTAAATATGGAGTGTTATCATTGTGGTGATATGGGTCACATCAAGAAATATTATCGAAAATTGAAAAAAGACAACAAGAAGAACAAAACCAAACGGAATGGCGAGTGATGCTTGATGAAGTCAACATAGCATTAGATAAGCATAGTTAGGTGGTTGACGAGTGGAGCTTCGGTACATGTTACATCTCACAAGGAATTTTTTAGCTCATACACGCTCGGTGATTTTGGGGCGGTAAAGGTTGGCAATAATGGGTTATCTAAAATTACTAGTATTGGAGATGTGTGCTTAGAGACACATATTTGAGTAAAACCGATTTTGAAAAATATGAAGCATGTTCCCGACTTTCACTTGAATTTAATCTCAGTTGGAAGACTTGATGATGAAGGGTTTTGTAACATATTCAAAAATAATATGTGGAAGTTGTCCAAGGGTTCTATAGTAATGACAAAAGGAGATAAGTGTTCCTTTTTATATGTCATGCATGCTAAATTATTGAATGATGATGTGAATGTTGTCGAGGTAAGGAAGCTACCGAGCTATGGCACAAGAGATTGGCTCATATGATTGAGAAAGGCATGACGGTGTTAAAAAAGAAAAATTTGTTGTCCGATATACGAGATAATCACTCGAAAAAGTATCCGCATTGCTTAGCTGGAAAACGAACGTAGTTTCCTTTAGGAATTGTCCACCTACAAGGAAACAGAATCCCATTGAGTTAGTATATTCGGATGTGTGTGGTCTTATGAAGACAATGTCAAAAGGAGGTTCCTATTACTTTGTGACATTCATAGATGATTACTCAAAGAAGGTATGGGTTTATACATTGAGATCGAAAGATCAAGCTCTTAGTGTTTTCAAGTAGTTTCGGGCTTTAGTAGAAAGAAAAACGAGTGAGGAAGCTTAAATGTATCCGAATTGATAATGGTGGTGAATATTCGGACCCTTTTGATGAGTACTGCAGGACTCAAGGCATTAAGTATCAAAAGACTCCACCAAAGACACCTCAATTGAACGGATTGGCTGAAAGGATGAATATGACTCTAGTTGAGAGAGTCGGATGCTTGTTGTCTCATGCACTACTCGCTTAAGTCATTTTGGGGTGAGGCTCTAAATACTCGTTGTTTATTTAATAAATCTTTCACCTTGTGTGCCTTTGTCATTTGATGTTCCGGATAGGGTTTGGAGTGACAAAGATATATCCTATGATCACTTAAAAGTTTTTTGGTGCAAGGCATTTGTGCATGTTTCTAAAGATGAGAGATCTAAGCTTGATGTGAAGACAAGGCGAGTGTATCTTCTTAGGTTATGGTCAAGATGAGTTTGGCTATAAACTCGTATGATCCGATTGAAAAGAAGAGAATCAAAAGTCATGATGTTATATTTCTAGAGGATCGGACCATACAAGATATTGAGAAGACGGATCGGATAGTGGTCGAGTCTTATGATGATCCGATAGATATAGAGCCAATTGAGCCGCTTCATTCCGCACCGATGAGCTGAGCCAGTTGAACATGATGTGCAAAATGGTTCACGGACAGAGTAAAGAGTACGGAATGATAATGATCTGCAAGAAAATAGTTAGATTCATGATGATACATTGAGTGATGAACATGATCGGATAGTTAAACAAAGTGATGAACATGTTCCATCATAAACCTTCGGACGATCTAACGAGAGATCGAAAACCTTTTACTAGGTACTCTACCGATGATTATGTGTTGTTGATCGACGAGTGGAGAACCTAAATCCTACAAAGAAGCAATAGAAGATGAGAACAAAAAGAAGTGGATTGAAGCCATGAAAGATGAGATGAAGTCTTTACATGAGAACAATACCTTTGAATTGGTAAGGCTACCTAATGGTAGAAGAGCTTTGAAAAAACAAATAAGTGTTTAGAATCAAGTAAGAAGAACACGTTCTTAGTGTATTCGAACGAACGCAGTTTCCTTTAGGAACTGTCCACCTATAAGGAAACAAAATCCCTCGAGTTAGTATATTCGGATCCGTGTGGTCCTATGAAGACAATGTCAAAAGGAGGTTCCCGTTACTTTGTGACATTCATAGATGATTACTCAAAGAAGGTATGGGTTTATACATTGAGATCGAAAGATCAAGTTTTAGTGTTTTTAAGTAGTTTCGGGCTTTGGTAAAAAGAAAAACAAAGAGGAAGCTTAAATGTATCCGAACCGATAATGGTGGTGAATATTCGGGCCCTTTTGATGAGTACTTGCAGGACTTAAGGCATTAAGCATCGAAAGACTCCACCAAAGACACCTCAATTGAATGGATTGGTCGAAAGGATGAATAAAACTCTAGTTGAGAGAGTCGGACGCTTCCTTTCTCATGCATGACTCGCCTAAGTCATTTTGGGGTGAGGCATTAAATACTCGTTGTTTATTTAATAAATCTTTCACCTTGTGTGCCTTTGTCATTTGATGTTCCGGACGGGGTTTGGAGTGACAAAGATATATCCTATGATCACTTAAAAGTTTTTTGGTGCAAGACATTTGTGCATGTTTCTAAAAATGAGAGATTTAAGCTTGATGTGAAGACAAGGGAGTGTATCTTATTAGGGTATGGTCAAGATGAGTTTGGCTACAAACTGTATGATCCGATTGAAAAGAAGATAATCGAAGTCGTGATGTTGTATTTCTAGAGGATCGGACCATACAAGATATTGAAAAGATAGAGCAGAGAGTGGCCGAGTCTTATGATGATCCGATAGATATAGAGCTAATTGAGCCAATTCATTACGCACTAGTAGTCGAGCTAGTTAAA